TTGAACCGTTGCTATTGATACCTCCACTGCAGGGCTGTGCGACGTGGATTTAAAGTTTTATCACAATATTTTGTGGTACTATAAAAGTGACAGTAAGAGCTTTTTTCCTTTCACTTTTGTTTGAGGTAACCATATGACACGTCACAAACACGAAACTGTCCTTCAACTAAAAGGAGCTTGTTCAGACCAAAGCACCAGTCTTTGGAAGACACATGAGAAAAACAGCCACGCAAACGGAAATGATCAACCTTGTTTCAATTTATCACTCCATTAACTGATTTGTTGCGGCAGGCTGAGCCCCACATTTTTTTTTTTATATTGGTTTTTTTAATCTGTCCCTCCTTTAAACCCTTCGGCGTCTTTCTCTGCGACCTGTCTGCTGTGTGTCTTGTTCTCCACGGCTCAGTTTGCTCTAATGCTCATTAACAAACCCCACAGGCCTCTGCAGAACAGCTCAACCTGTTCTCAGAATAAATTACTCACAGGTGAACTCGTTTTATGCCGTGAGCAACTTCTGATGGTGGTTGGTGGAGCACTTTACATTTCTAAGACTTTAATCAGTAAAAAGAAAGGGACTGTTCCTCCGAAGCATATACTGTGCAGCGTAACACACAACATAGAAAAAAAATCCATTAAAATAGAGAATTATGCTTTCGGTAACAGCTTTTCCACGCCGATTGGCTCTGGCTGTATTTCATATGGATTAGCAGATCCACTAATAAGGATAATGATTTTAAATAACTAATAAAGAAATGGTCTGAATTAACAGGAATAGATTGAAAATAATTAATTTGAATGCACTTTGTTTATAAGTGGGTTTATTCTGAGTGGAGGTGATGCAAAGGTCTATGTTTCTTCGCAAGAGTCGAAACGCTAAAGATTAGAGTGATGGCAAAGAGGCCTTCTGAACAGCGGTGATAAGTATAAGTGGAAAAATGCAGGAACAATTTCAGACTGATTTGTTTCAGTATTTTTAATGGCACTACCTGTTGATTTTCTTAACCAGAAGCTTCAAGTAGAAAGCACGTAGTAACTACAAAACTCACACCACATATTGCCCTGCCCACATAGCCACCACCAGCTTGAAGCATGGTGGTGGCTGCATCATGTTTTCACCTTGCTTTCTCTTAGCAGTGTGAGGAGAGCTGGTCAGAGTCGATGGAACAGATGGATAAGAATGGATGTTTAATAATCCACACAACGTCACATAAAAGTCCAAGCGCGACGTCGACGTCAACGTTTGTGCTCGTGATGCGACACAATGGGGGAAAACCTTCTCCCGGCACAGCCTCTCTGCGTAGTCGCGTACGGACACAGAAAAAAACCGCTGTGCGTTTTGTTTGCCTCTCCACAGCCAAGCCTTTGTCCAAATCCCACCAGTATATCTTTTTTTCCTTTTCCTCTCCTGTCAGCAGCACGGCCCAGCCTCAGTCTGTGATCAGCGGACAAACCGAGGCCTGTTGAGGTCAGCGGCTGTGTTAACATCATCCAGTTTATGCTACACCAGCGCTGCCTGCGCAGTATTGCTGGTTGTAAATCTCCCGTGCTGTGTCATATTCAATGCTTCCCTCCGTCTCTAAACACAGATCGCCGTTTCAGCAGCCAGCCGCTACATCCTTATATATAAATATATTTCTTTATGTGTGCGTGTGTGTGTGTGTGTGTGTGTGTGTGTGTGTGTGTGTGTCCAACAGACAGTGAAAAAAACCCCGAAAAACAAAAACATGTCGGGCATCTCAGCAGGGGCCGGTTTCCAAAGTGATGTGGGTGTTTAATGTGTAGGCCAAAAGCAGACTGACTCAGTATCCTTCAGTTCATTTTGGGGTTTTTTTCTGTTTTTTTTTTTTTTTTTTTTTGCTACTGACATGGTGGAATATAACAGGATATGTTTTGGTTGTTTATAACCTCCTACAGCACATTTTGGGGAAAAGTAATGCTGATCTACTTTGCCTCCCTTCTTGGCTACCGGAGCAGACACTTGCCACTAAACTCCATTAGACATCTGGTTTAATATAGCCCCCATTCTTCTCTCCTGGATGTTTCCAAAGGCACTGAGGTTTCTCCAGTCAGGCCAACTTTCCACTGGCAGCCAGCGAGGCTATCCCAGGGTGGTTCCTGCTGGAGAACTGTCAGAACGTTTGGGGCTAAGGCTCTTTAGGGATTTTTGATGCCCTAATGGGTGCGTTTAGCGCAGTTCCGACCAATCCGGGCATCGGCTTCTAATTCCTAAAGTCTTTACGGGAGTAAAGAGCAGAGTAATTAATGCGGATAGTCTAATGCTTGACTCATCTGACAAGTCAAAGCCAGCAAATTCTGCTTGTGAAGTTATTGACTTGCTTTGACCGGAAAGGTTTTCCGACCCCAGACCCATCGGGAGGAGAGGGAGTTATGGAGGAGGGGTGGTAAAAACCTCAACAGCCTCATCATCATGCGTCTCCCCCGTAAACGGCAGAGCCCGGCGGGCCCGGAAATGTGCCGGGGGAACCACCCTTTCTCTGGAAACTACCTTTGTCCTGTTTTAAACATTACAGTGTCACGCTGTTTGTGCATCTATGTACAAAATGAATTTTAAACAGTGGATGTGTGTCAGGGTGGAGGCCGGTCACTTTGTGGTGCGTGCATGTACGTATGTGTGTGTGTGTGTGAGGTAGGGACAGCAGAACATTACCACAGGCTGGTGGGGCACAGCTCTAGATTGCTAACCAAAAAAAGCAAGCGGTGGTGAGTCAGTCGCCTCTGGGCAAAACCTGTGGCCACGGTATTAGCTGAAGAGTGCCAGTCCCAGGATGGGAAATTAACAGCAGCTTTGGGTGAAAACATGTTGTAGAGTTGAGAAAAAAAAATAAAATAAATTACCCCCGAGTCCTGAATGAGAGGTGCAAAAAGCCCATCTGTGGAGGAAATCAGCTGTAAAACAGCTGCAAACGGCATCATAAATGCACTATAATTAGCAGTACATAAAAATAAATTAGTTTTTTTATTTAAGAGTCTCATAAAACATGGTACAAAAGGCAAAATAATCACCAAAAGGAAGTTAACGTTCAACCTTGGTTTAAATCAGACTGCAGTGATGTTTAGTAACTTCCTCCAACTTAATATTTTTAGAGTTTTTTTAAATATGGGGGGATGGGAGGAGATGCAGCCTTTTTTTTCCTCATTTCTCTCTTACAGTAAAATTTTTCTTTTTAAAGTTCATAAATTTTCTGCAGCTGCAGGGAATGAAGAATGTAACTCACGTGTTTCCATAGATACCTTTTATCCAGGGGGGGTGATACATCTGCATCATTTGACCCCCTAAGGGAAGCGTTGAAAGCTATCGCTTTGTGCCGCTAAGCACAAACATCTTGCAAAGGGATTATTACTGGACAGTGATCAGTTACTACACGCTGTGTCTACAACTACTTCCTGCCTTCAGCCTCTGCTTACGGTAAACATGGCTTTAAGACCCCAAAATTTATATTCTGCCGTTCACTAAATTAGTTCATGATGATTCCAATAATTGATTAATGGTTCCCTGTGGCTACATCTGTGCTCAAGTCCCACAGACGTGTCGAAAGATGTCACGACAACCAGATCACATAAGTCAGAGCTGAAACAATAAATCACCACTATTACTCTTTTTTTCCCCAGATGGGCAGTATTTATGTAAAATCAGCTTTACATGATGTTATGATGTCGTCCCCTCATCAAAAACATACCTGGATTGTTGCTTTGATTCTTTCATGCACGTTTGAGAAATCCTTTAGTCTCCCGTGGCAACCATTTAGCTCCACAAAACGCCTGATCTCAGCAGAAAGCGCCATCTTGGAGTTGCAGTTCCCAAGCTTCGGCCTCACAGAGCAGCCCTCTCCTACGACTCCCTCCGCTCAACTCCTTAAGACTAGCCGGCAGCAATTGGCAAACACCTGGTGGAACTGCACATCTGCTGAGCTAATTATGCAGGCTAATTCTCGGTGTAACGCTGGTAAAAAATATTAACGGGTTAATAGCGGAGCACTTGCTGAAGGCAGAGTGCCGAAAAGAGCGGGAGCTTCTTAAAGAGACAGAAGCCCAATTTCAAGGCGTTAATTTACAGTCAAACTTCTTTTAAGGCTTATTTGGTATACTTTTATATCAACCGGAGGAGAAGAAATTGATTGTGCTATAAAATGACACTGCCCCTTTAAAAGTTGCAGCTGATTCATAACAGAGAAACATTTTTGGCTTTCAGTTCTGAACTTTTAAATGCCGGTTGGATTTTTAAATGTTTCAAACTTAACCATATACTGAGACCTTTCTACAGAGGAGAAGATGGACGGACGGATATACGGCAGCAGCTCGCTCTGCACATCCGTTTATTCCTAACACGCTGCTTTCCTTTCCCACCAGAACCTGAGACCTGCTTAAATCAAATTCCATACTTTCCCTTTGCACTGGAAATATATAAAAATATATTTTTTTAACTGACGGCAGCAGGGCCAAAACACAGACCTGGATCAGCCCCACTTTTCCACCACCATTAACACCGGCCGCCTCTATTATCACGTGAACACTTTGTCACCGTTGGACACAACGGAGCGATTCCTCCCCGTAAACGAGGCGTGCGTGCGTCAGCGAGGCAGCGGGGACCCGCAGCCCCCAGGCCGTGTGCAGTGTGGGCAGCAGAACAAGGTGCTCCTGCGGAGGAATTCAGCACTTTGGACAGCACCGAAAAAATCTCTCCCCACTCTGGAATTCTGACGCTGCGCTCTCTCCGGGCCGGGCCCGAGGACGCTGCGGTCTGGAATGTAGCCGTATTCGTACTAAGGTGCAGGAGGGAAGCTGGCGACCCATTAGGACGATGCGCAGTATTTAGAATCCGTCCTACTCAGAATTACCTACAAGAAAAGGCAATATGACTAATTATGCATACACAGATCATTGATCTCCAGAATATTTGCTTTGAAACAACAAAAAGACTCATTTCTTATTTTTTTATCCTTTTTTTTTTCTCTAAAAACAATGTACTGTCTTTCCCTCAGGCAGCCGGGAAGCAGCTTTCACCTATGCCATCACGGCAGCGGGGGTGGCCCACGCCATCACGGCCGCCTGCAGCCAGGGCAACCTGAGTCAGTGCGGCTGCGACCGGGAGAAGCAGGGCTACTACAACCAGGAGGAAGGCTGGAAGTGGGGCGGCTGCTCGGCCGACATCAAATACGGCATCGAGTTCTCGCGGCGCTTCGTGGACGCCCGGGAAATCAAAAAGACGCCCCGCCGCCTGATGAACTTGCACAACAATGAGGCAGGCAGAAAGGTAACAGGACCGCTTTCCCAGAACCTCATGACGCTCCAAAAGAAAATTGCTTTTTTTTTAAATTTTTTTACGAGAATCAACAATTCACGATTTCTTGCACTCGCTTTATGGTTTAATAATTAGCATAAAGCGCAGCTGAGCTTGAACTCTTTTCTTGTACTTCAGAGAAAATGTAGAAATGCTCCTAGCAGCATTCGGACTTTCTGATCCGTGCGTCATCTCCTCAGGTCTTAATTTTACCGCTTTTATTTTGACAGGGACACTCCTCAAGAACAATGCAGCTTAAAAAAATAAATAGAAAAGGGCTGAATCTTCAGTCTTTAAATTAAATGACTAGTAATCTTTTCAGTTAATGGTCGGATGAAAAAGTGAGGCAAGCACCATGATATATGGAAGTATATTGTACTAACGCAGATCTGGACTTTGACTGGGCCATTTAAACACGCAAACATATTCTGGTTTAAATGATTTCATTGCAATTTTCAAATGTTTTGATATTTATTGATAATGAAGCAAAATCCCAATGATTTGGACAGCATTAGTGGATTTTAAACATTGATCAGAGCTCTTATCAAAAGCATTCATTGCAATAAAGGAGAAACGAAGCGATAAATCCGCAGCCCTGCTACGAGTGAATTGAAGTTTGTAGTCGTACCGTGAGCTTTGAAGGGGAGTGAACATTTTTTTACGCATCATTATCAGGTGATTGCTTGCTCTGAAGTTGTAAACAAAGACAAAAATAAAGTGAGCGATCTAACCGATGGCTTTGTTTCTGCCCCGTCCGAGGAGAGCTGTGGCCCGCCCAGCGGCTGACAGGCGGAGGATTGGCTTTCCTTCTTTCCATTTCTGGTCACGGAATTATGAAGTGTGAAAGTCAGGAAGTGGATATTATTGCAGTTGTCTGCACAAAACCAAAACATGTCACTCCCATCTGACTGCGTCTATTCAGGGTGTGAAAGCAGGCTGACAATGGTGGTGTTAGCGGAGCAGACTGATCCGGGTCAGCGCCGGTGGGTGCCAGGGTGCTGGCATGCTGGGCTGACAGGGTTGGCGCTGTTTCTGGTCTCGCCCCGGTTCCCTCAGAAACGCAGTTTCACAGCAGTTTCACAGCAGTTTCACAGCAGTTTCTCAGGTTTTTGATGGAAGTCACTGGAATGGACGATTTTTATAAATGGACCCCAACAGCACGCTTAAATTTAGCCACTGGTTTTATTCTCCAACTCTCAGAGATTGCCTGTCAATGCATTTTTGGAAATCCTCGCTCTGAATCCCCATCCCTTCACTGCTAGGGATGGGGAGTGTTGATGTGAGGGAATAATCAAATTTTAAGTCTGGTAAAATGTTCTTTCCTGTCTTGATCTGAGGTGTTACTATCGCTGAAAAACACCAATAATGTCCATTGTTTTGTGTTTTTATGAAGAAAAAAGAACAACACTATTTAATACACTCTCCTTCAGGGCAGACATAACCGGTTCAGTATTTTAGATTAAGAACTAGCAACGTGGTCTATGCTGTAGCTTTAGCCTGATGAAATCATCTAGACTACAGTTTATAGTTCAGGTTAGGCTATTTGAAAGGCTAAAAACACTGAAAATTGACATGCCCCAACTGTGAAGGCCTTTAAACTGTATGAACAGTATGAAGGAAGACGTTGCTAAACATCAATAATGGAAACTGTTAGCTTCCTGCATCGATGTAGCTTATACAATATAATTTGCTCATCTTTCCCAGGAAATGTTGCTGTTATGACAAGTAAATCTGTGAACTTATTCTACCTTTTAATCATCGTGTAATTGTAATCATAGCGTGGTCGCTGCTCCAGAAGCCCTAACTGTGTAGTTTGCGGTTTCGAGATGTGTTTTATTCCACCGTACTGTGGTTAATTGCACTTGCAAAGCAAAGTAATAATAAAACAATTATAAATCTTTTAATTTTTGCATTAAAGTTTGGACAACAAAACAAAAGCCCTCCTTTCTAGGCTAACCCAAATTGTACATTTACTGGCAATAATAAAAAGAAATTCTGGTTTTGATGAGAGAAAACTCAAGACAGGAGGAGCAATGAGATTCTTTTTTCTTTCCAAACACTAATATGGACCATCATTAAAACAGAAGACTATAATTACACGATTATATTCAGTGACCAAACCAAATGTAAAAGAACACCCAGTGAAACACCACACTGCTTAAATCGTGCAGAATTGGGAGGGCTGCGGGGTGTTTGACAAGCAATCTCGAGACGGGACTCTTGGCCGTGCTGGACTAATCAGGAACAGATCGGAGGCTTTGATCGACGTACTTTAAGTAAATGTTTCCATGCATCTGTCAGGCTCCCTATGCCAGGCATTCCTTGTGGGTTCTGCGCTGCGCATTTTTGGAAATCCTCGCTCTGAATCAACATCCGCGGCAAATCTGACAGCTGACCCTGGCTTTTATGTAGCTCGGGGAACTCATGTTTTTTCAATCAAACGTCTTTAAACTGGGAAACTGTGACCGCACTGGTGCACAGACAAGACTGACAAAGATACTGAACGTCACTCGCGAACGTTCGTAGAAGTGTTGGACAGAAGGGATGACTTGTGCCTCTGGAAAGGCTGAGCGCCAGGAAAAAGCTGCACAACCAACCAACCAACGTATTATACAAAAAAAAAAGTCAAACCCTTGGTTCAGTGCGAGTTGAGGGCTCCTAATTGGGTTAAAGGCCTCATGTCAGACTATTATAGATGTGTTAATAGGAGCCATTTGAACTCCACTCCCTTGTTTCTGGGTTCCCTTGCCTTTTAAGAATGATTCAGCTCAACCTCAACAAAGTGCAATTTTTTATTGTGAGTGTTTTTAAGTTTTGAAGTGTCAGAACACAATAGTCACCATGAGAGACTAGGTTTTCTTCTTCTTCTATGCTGCCATATGTGGCCGATGACCACAAAAAAACAGAAACCAGGCCTTAAGAGGAAAGTATTTAAACCTGAAATCTGAAAAAAAATTGAAATAATTCTTTGGTTATAGAGTGCTTTGCTAATTTATTAACATGTATATTATCATTACAGGTTCCACCTCAATCTCTGAACCTATATTTGAGCTGGTCTTTGTTTGGATTCGCGATTGCAACGCGTTTCCTGAAACAATCTCGATTTAACCCTTTCAGGATGACTGATGGCTTATTTTCCACACTTGACTGATGTGGTTTAGGGAAGATAGAGAAAATTACAGGATGGTACATTACTCGCGCATACAATTTACCTTTCTTTCAGGACAGGCTGCGACACGCAGAGGAGAGAATTAAGATATGTTTGGATTTGTTCGCCTAGATCAGTAGTCATCGAGACTGACAGCGTCTGACGAAGTGCCTGTGGCTGCAAGTAATCAGCGCTATCATCTCTTACTGGAAATATCAGCAAAGACATAAAGTGCTTCTTCTGTTTTCGTGTGTGTTGGATCAGAATTGGCCCTAAGCCTTGTATTTTATGTTTTTTTTAAAGAAGCCTTATATTCCAGTTTCAGTTTCTGCCTCTCCAAACGTATATGTAATTTAATGCTGGGGTTTTTCCACCTCAGGACATTTTGGAGGCATGTAGGTAACACAACGTTACGGTAAACTACTCCCTCTCTCCGAGATGAAAAACAAAATCAATTGAGGCATCCGAATATGTTGTTTGGTAGTCAATAACCAAAAGTGTGCCAATGGTTACTTTGTTGGTTAATCACTTGATTACCTGGTCAGTTACAGGCTTAATTATTTGTTTAATTGATGGTTGATTGGATAGTTATTTCAGTGATTGGGTGTTTAATTAACTCTACAAGTAGTTGGTTTATTGGTTGGTTGTATAATTAGATATTTATTGGTTGGCTACCGTGATGACTGGTTGGTTGGTTGATTTGTTAGTATGTTACAACGGCTCTCAGTGTTCGGTGCTTAGAGATCACAGCCAAAATTCATGAAAACTTCATGCCGACTCTAAAGATGCTTAATATGCATTAATACACCAAGTGAAAACCATCTTCACTTGGTGAAGCCAATCATCAAGGAAAATGAGCAGCACTCCTAGAGTGGCTGCTTGACAAATAGCAGCCAATAGCCTCTCCAGTCATAATGCTCCAAGGTGTTTCAGCTTTTAAATATCTTAGAAAAACATCCACAAATAGGCAAATTTGCGTTTATGCGAGCAGGTGAATCTGTGAATACTGAACCACAAACAGCATGGGCTTGTTGTGGAATTACTCAGTTCATTTGTTGTTTGGTTGGATTATTGCTTGATTAGTTTCTTCAGTAGGCTGGCTAGTTGATTATTTGGTTAACTGTTAAGCCTCAAGATGACATTTGTTGTGAATCGGCACTTAAAAACCAACTTAAATTGAGTTTCACCTGGATAGCTGCCCTCATTCGTGCACAAAACAGTTGCAACGCTGGGTGACGTGTGTTTGTCTGCGCCAGTGACAGGTGCTCTTGTCTCCCCTCATCACTCTGCAGGTTTTGGAAGAAAGGATGAAGTTGGAGTGCAAGTGCCACGGTGTTTCCGGCTCCTGCACCACCAAGACCTGCTGGACGACGCTCCCGAAGTTCCGCGAGATCGGCTACATCCTCAAGGAGAAGTACAACGACGCCGTGCATGTGGAGGTCGTGCGGGCCAGCCGGCTACGCCAGCCCACCCACCTCAAAGTGAAGCAGACTCAGGGCTACCGCAAGCCCATGGAGACGGACCTCGTTTACATCGAGAGGTCGCCCAACTACTGCGAGGAGGACGCGGCCACGGGGAGCGTGGGCACCCAGGGACGCCTGTGCAACCGCACGTCGCCGCACACGGACGGCTGCGACCTCATGTGCTGCGGCCGCGGCTACAACACGCACCAGTACACCAAAGTGTGGCAGTGCAACTGTAAGTTCCAATGGTGCTGCTTCGTCAAATGCAACACGTGCAGCGAGAGGACGGAGGTTTTTACCTGCAAGTAAAAGGCCGCAAGGAATGTCGTCATCGGCGGGCGAAACGCCAAGGACTCGTTGAACAAGGACCCGACAGAGCGAGATGTCCACACGTCTTCGAGCAGTGAGAGATTGTATAGCTAAGCGAACGGGATTTAACACTATCAGCTCTTCGTGGCGTCGTTTTGCACAGCAGAATCTTATCTAATTGCTTTTCAGAAAGTAATTGCTAAGTATCAGTAGATCATAGCCCAGAACTTTGCTGTCAGATAGAGATTGTGCTCTTGTACTGATGTATCCACAGTGAACCTGGGACCGCCCGTAAGGAAGACAAAGGCCCTCGGAGGGGACTGCGCGTTGCAGTCTGGTTGGGTTTCGGGGTGGGGGGAGGAGGTTGGCGCGTCGGTTTTTGGGAGGAACTCAGAGACGGACGGGAATGACAAAAAATGGCCACGGCTGATTTGAGGTGACCGGGGGGAAGATCCGTCAAATCTATGATTTAAAGAAAAAAAAACAACAAAAACAAACAAAAATCAGCTTTTATAGATCTTGTTGTATCTCCGCTAAATGGGAGCTTAACTGAATCTCGACCCGCACCCTCCCAGATTGTCTGGGGCCGGTGTCAGAGGCCGAGAAATGAAGAACATTTTGTAAAAGCGTGGTGCAATGTATTGCACCAAAGTTTCGAGTGGGGAACTCTGTCAAACCCTTTGCTGCCAACTGGAATACGGTGGAGAATGTTAGTTTTCCAGTTACACTGGAACTGTCTGTTCTGAACACTGAAAATAAATTGTCTATTTATGTTATAGTATCTTAAAACAAAAGCACTAACGGGTAGAGATGTCTTTTTTTTTGTACTAAATGTAATAACAAATACATTTTTAGAAACTCTTAGGAGATGACCACGTCGTTTCTAAAACATTATCTTTTAGAAAAGGAAATGGGAGAAGGAAAGAGAAAAGCTTTCATTGCTACTGTTGTGTTGACAGCAAAATACATAATTCCCGACTTCGTAGTTTGAAGTTTCTTTTTCTTTCATTTCTACCCCGACGTCTGAGAACAGAATCGCCGCCAGAACGTGGCAAATAAACAAAACTGCGCAATCATGCAAGGTTTTATCTTTTAAACACGGTGGGTGTGGAATTACAACAACAAAACGCATCGCAGAAAAATAATCTGTTTCTCTCCTGCAGCGATGAAGTGAAACCCAAATGATTTGTCCTCGGGTTCCTCAGAGAGTGGCGCATTTCAAGCGTCCGTTTTTGCAAATATTAAAGATTATATCAGAAAATCTGGGTGTTGCATAGAGCCAATGCGTAAAACATCTTTAATACAGAAATGCCAGACAACAACAAGAACATCTGACAGCGGCTCGACATCCTCCACTGGGAGAAAAACACATCACTGCTAAGGAAGCTGGCAGGTCAGCTTGCTGGAAGGTTGGGTGGTAGGAAAAAGTGCGGCAACAAAAAGAACACAGGCATTTGGGATGACCGCAACCTTAAAAAGATTGTAAAAACAACGCCGGTTCAAGAGTTTGGGTGCAGAAATGACATGCTGAGTCATTTGTACTTGATGACCAATGGCTGTAACTTTGGCTAAGGAAAGAAAAAAAAATGACTGGACTGTTGCTCAGATGGTCAAATGCCCTTTAGACGGAAATAGATTTTAATAATCTGGATCAGAGCCTCCATGGCAACAGCAATTCAAGCCAAAGTGGATACGGAGAAACGCGTACTACAAAACAACATAGACATGGATTTTAAGTGGGATGACGTTTCTGAATAATACACACACACACACAAAGAAAGAAAAGATTTTATTGGTCTTATATTCTGCTTTTCTGGATTTTTTGTTTTTACAGCCTCCAGTCAGATGATTTTATTAATCCAGACAATTGTATTAATTTCAGGAAACTTCATTCATTGTTTTTATTGTAGCGTCCTTGGTCTGACTGGAACACCAAAGCATAGCAAACCTGTGCAGAACATGTTGGATCAACTCAAACAACGGACAGTCTAAACAATTTAACTGAATCTGAATTATTTTATGACTAAATATTTGCACTTTTTTTTTTACATATTGGAGTTTTTGACACTGATTTCACCAAAGGCTTACTGTGATGCAGTCTGGGGTATTTTAATATTTCAAGTTAGGTTCGTACATCTTTTAGGTGCAGCTCAGATATTTACACACTTTATAAATGACCTACTGATTCGCCACATCAATCATATTCCCATTTCTTTTCAAATTGCTTTTCAAGCAACACACTAAAAACAAACCTTGTTTATTGAAAGAACGAATTATTTTATTTTTCTACATAAAAAAAAAAAAGATGTTCCTTTGATTTAATGATGAAGTGCTTCATGAAACATACACGGGATTATCCTGCAACCCAGTGGAGTCAGAACTCCACATTCTTCTTTTATTGCTTTTGCATGTCCGTACAAGACATTTTGTCTTCGGTGTTTAGTTGCCAGTTTCGACTGTTCCAACAAGCTTCCCAAGCTATTATTTGCATAAATTTTTCCCTCTTTGAAGGAAAACACGCACGCACACACACACACACACACACAACTGGCAGACGGTTTGGGGAAGCATAAATCATTAAAAATTAAACCTAAATAAATCAGGCATTCAGCTGACAGCAATGTTATTTTGTACACAGCATATGTTCGTAATATGCTGCGGTCATGCGTCCTGATTGTGGTCCGCGTGGAAGAAGTAGTCATTTTATTCTCTCTCTTTCTCTCTCTGCCTGCGTGTAGAAAGGTCTTCATCCCAATGAAATGTGATCAGAATCACAATAACGATGAACAATAAGCAAAGATAATGGGAACCAACTGTCACCGAAACACTGACGGAAACAGAATCTGGGTAAATTCCTCCGATTGTTGCAATTTTTTTTTTCTACAAGAAACTGATATTGAGCAAAAAAAAGAGAAAAAAAGAAAGAGACGTTTTACTTATATCTATCTATCTATCTATCTATCTATCTATCTATCTATCTATATCTATCTATCTATATATATATATATATATAAAGCATATATATATATATATATATATATATATATATAAGTAAAACGTCTCTTTCTTTTTTTTCTCTTTTTTATTATATATATATATATATATGTATATACATACATATATATATATATATATGTGTATATATATATATATATATATATATATATATATATATATATATATATATATACACATATGTATATATGTATATATATATATATATATATGACAACAGAGGATTTTTCATTCTGGCTCAGCACTAGAGTCTTAGAGTCCCGTGTTTACGGCTGGGCCCGGCCGGAGCTCCTCTGAATACTAGAGGATCTTTATGCAAATGATCCGATGTGAATGGGAAGTGGCTCAGTGTGGCCCTTATTGAAGGGACACACAGAGAGAAGTGTAAGACCTTTTGTGGGGGTGTTTCGGAGACGAATGGGGCGGCTCGGTGAAAGGAGGTGCATGCGTAGCCGGAAGCCGCGAGTGAAAAGAGCGGTTATTTAAGAGAGGAGCTAATTGAGGGCGTTTTTTTTTTTTTTTTTTTTTTTGGGGGGGGGGGAGAATGAGTGGGTACGCTGTGTAAGTAGGAGCAGCTGTTGGAGGCAACTTGGTTGCTGGTCGAGAGAGTTCAAAGAAATTTAGGGGCGCCGTTAAAGTTATTTACCGCGGTAAGGCCACTCTCCTGGGCAGCCAAAGGCGTTTGAAATTTCCTTCAATTAGATCCTTTCGAAATCAAACAAAACTTTATTGGTCACTTACATGGCACCTCATTTCCCATTCCAAGTTTCTGTTGTGTCGTTAAACACTTTCTATGATTCTGTGAGAGCCGTGCCGCTCCGTCCATTCGTCCCCCCCATGTGCGTGTGAAAAGCATTGTGGGTGGGCAGCAGAGCAGAAGTAAGACGTGTTTTGTTAGTCGTCTGAAGCCCAGGGGACCGGAACCCCGTAAGCTCCCCTGCATTGTGCCCACAGTTGAGAACAACTAAATCGGTTTGTTTCACATTTTGCGATGAAAAAATATCTTAGATCAGTAAAAGCCAGCGTCTGAGGCGCACACCCTCCATCGTTGATTTCACCTGCAGTGATATTCACCTTCAGGGTTTTCATTTTCTCAGCTCGAGACTCGGGTTCAAATTTATTCGTGTCATTTTGTGATTTGAGTGGCAACGTCTTGGGGATGAGTTTGCGTTGCTGGGGGTCAAAGGTCACATTTCCCACGACTCGTCCACGTGTTTCTGTCAAGGAACGAAAAGAAAAGGAAAAAATCAAAGTGATTAATCACGTTATATTGCGACAATTAATCACAATGCTTAACTTTTGAATCTTCACATTTTAAAAAAAATGTTTAAGAAAGCGTTTTTTTTTTTTTAATTTGTTTCAAACATAATTTAGAAATGTTAACTATAAACTGGTTGATGATGTACGTACCTTAGTTCTATCCCCAATGTGTTTTTCAAAAGTGAAATTTTCCGTTGAGAGCAGCTGTCTGACTCCTCGCTCATCTTTTCACCGTCGTTTGCGACTCTGCATTTTCCCGGTTGACCGCAGTACAAGACGGCACCGCTGTGAACCGAGCAGCCCTCAGAATCGGTAAACTTTGAAACGAATCCCATGCATTTAACCTAAAATAACAATGTTTACGGCTGTAGTTAACACATACTTTCTGTTCCGTCATCACGTTTTACTAGAATTAGCTCAGGCTGTATGAACATACTTTCGGCCAGCTGATTGGCAGTTTGAAGCATTGAACTGACACTGGAATCTGGTTAGTCCTAAAATAACTGGCTACCTTTAACCCTTCTGGTCCTGTTTTTCATTCCACTGTGTGAAAAAATTCTGTAAACGTTTACGGATTCATGGAATCTATAATTTTCCTCATTTGACTTTTTTTTTTTTTTGCACACTTAAAAATAAAGACAAACTAAATAAAAACAACAATGAGACTCTAACACGAGCTAAAATCTGAGACGATACAAAAAAAACCGTCAGCCCCAAACCAACGTCGATGAACGCACAATGCAGTGCGACCGCAGCACAGCCTGCAGCAATTAAAACGGCGCAGTCTTTTGGTGTCATGTGATCAGCCTCAGAACTGTTTCTCTGTGTTGCTATATCTTTGTTTTGACTGCTTGTCTTTGTGAAAGACCATCATTTGGAGGTTTTCTCGTCATCTGTTTGATATTAGTGGTGAGGAACACATGGCCATTCAAAGGCAAAAAAAAAAAAAAACCCTGTGTGACATCATAGACCACAAGGCAAAGTGGGGATCATGGAGACCCCAGGCTGAGGTCTGTTAACACAACCTGACTTTATTCATCCGTCTGCAACCGGATTGTTCAAACATTGCACCAGCAGAGAGGCCTTTCCGTCTCTGTGTGTTTTGTTTTCGCCGTTGCCGTTTGAAATTGGAAAAATTCCTCCCGATTTTAATGTTTGGGATAACGCTTAAAAGTGTGTTGTTCTGTAAACAGCTGCATGTTTGAATTGACCTTTTACACATTGAGGTAAAACACAGCTGTGTCTTCCTTAAATCTGCTAGCTGGTCGAAGCTGTGCGCATAAGCCGTAAATAACCTGAAACTGAGTATTTACACTTAGACGTTAACAGTGCTCAGACTGGGATGTCCACCTGTTTATGTTGGACTGGGAGAGGGAGCTGTACTTGTAAAATGAGGTTAATGCTCTTGCGGTGAAGCCTGCAGGCCTCACAGCTCCTGGGGAAGACGGCATCAGCAGTCTGAGGCGATGGGACGGATTTGACCTCGGGCGCTGTCATGTTTCTGTGCCGCCGGCTCGTTTTTTTTCTGGCCTTCCGGTAAACCCTCCGGGGCGTCCTGGCTCGCGTCACACGTCCATCTAAGTGGCACCTCCGTGAGGCGCGAAGTGTTTTTGTTTGCGAACGTCCAGGCCACGGCTTCACCTTGGAAGTTATTTTTCCCCACTCGCTTTGCTTTCACGACTCGAGGTCGGGGCTTCTGAAAGCAAACTCCACCCTGGAAGAAAAAAAAAAAAAAAAACAAGAAAAAAACTACAAAAGTCTTTGCTTTTCTTAGCAGTTTGTCTCTTCGCGCTCCGCTACATAAAGGAACATTTTCTAGCGCTGTGATGCAAACGGATGAGTGAAAACTCAGACATTTTTGGCAACACGTTGTTGGTGTCTAA